AGATAAAATTTGTCATCCATTGGACTTTCTCTCCTGGTTTCAGGTTGTTTGTCTGCCTTGATTTTTTTTAATGTAGTAGTGCCTATGTGGGATGACCAGGACCCATTCTTAATATTTTTAGAGTTGGTGATGCTATAGTACATATGGCCAGGAATTTTTGAAGAATTTCAATAGTTTTTTGACAGCAAAGATATCCATGGTGGGAGCACAAAAGATCAAGATGTGGTTGCAGTCCATAGGCTGAAGCCCTAACCCAGTGATGGCGAACCTTTTAGAGACCGAGTGCCCAAAAACTGGCCCCGCCCCTGCTCCACCCCCTGCCCCGCCCCCGCTCCACCCCCCATTCCCCGCCCTGCCTGCCTGCAGGGCCACTCACCGCCTCCAGGGCCCGCCGCAGATCGCCCAGGCAGCCCAGCACCACTATGGCAGTCATGCCCTCTGCCTGCGCCCTGCAGCATCAACTATGCACGATGGGGTGTGAGGGCAGAGTCTTGTCTATGCTGCCTGGCTGCCATGTCCTTGGCTGCGCTGCTCCGTGTGGGCCACGTTCAGGGGCAACTCTCCTTCAGGGGGGCTGCTGGAGAGGAGGGGGTCGCAGGGGGAGGCAAGGCTGCTCCGTGTGGGCCACGTTCAGGGGCAACTCTCCTTCAGGGGGGCTGCTGGAGAGGAGGGGGTCGCAGGGGGAGGCAAGGCTGGGGCAATGGCACGTGTGCCCACAGAGAGGACTACGAGTGCCACCTCTGGCACCCGTGCCATAGGTTCACCACCACTGCCCTAACCCTTTTCTGCAAGCATTGACTGACATATTAACTCTTCCCCCTCTTCACAGACACTAATGTTAAATACTTATTTTTAAAATAATATTAATATTAATGTTGAGTGTTTCCTCAGCTAAAAATTGAAGTTTTCAGCAACTATAAGCAAAAGTGGCTTGGAGACTTGGGTTGTCATGTTTGCCATATAGAAATACCTAATGCCTCCAGATATATTGGACTAAAATTCTTAATTCCCCCCCCCCCCCCATTATGAAAGTTTCTAGTTACAGCAGGGAAAGAATGAAGTTTAGAGCTCACTACTAAAAAACTTTATTGCAGTCATGAAGCAGCCTAAGTGAATTGGTATTCAAATATTGAAAATTAAATTGACACTATCAAGCTAAGTAGGAAAGGTGCATATAAACAAAGCATTTTGGCTAAAAGACTATGAAATAAAAAAAATACTAGGATGCTTGCTCAGGCTACACATGTATGACAAAACAGAAAAGAGATTAAAATGAGCAATACTAGTAATATAAACTTTAAAACAGCAACAAATATAAAAAAAATACTGATAGATAAAAAAATAAATTCATCCCAAAGGGATTTCAGGATTATAAATTCCTCTTACAGACTTTTGTCATACACAATAGCTGACATGGCATCTACACACCAAAAGTATAAAAAAAGAAGTTAAAAAGTAACCAATGGTTAATGCTGAGCCTAAGCCAAATCTGTCTCTCTATCCTCAGGCAAGTTCATTTGTTTTTAGTTAGTCTGCCTGATTTTACACACTGCCACACAAAATCTGGCAGCCTTGTGAAGAGCTTAGTACATAGGCACGTTATGTGCTGTAAGTTTGCCATTTTGTAAACAGAACTTCTTGACAATGTGTATTTAATGAACAATTTAATCTTTTTTTAAAAAAATTAAATGTATATACTGCCCAGCTCCCAGTTAAAAGTTCCTTCATCTATGAATGTAAGGGGAAAAAAATATGTAAGCTTAAATGTTGAAGGTGGATAGATTATATTAGATGTATGGAGTGATTAAATGATATATAGTTTTTGAGTAGATGTATTGGTTTTTAATTAATTTTAATTAATTTAATTGCCTTATTAGAGTTAAAGTAGGTATATACTGTTAGTATTATATTTGTTTAGCTAAATTGTAAGTT